CATTTTGGGTCAAAATCAAGCCGGGTATGAATCAACGCATGCAGCAGGATGGCCGCTTGCAGGAACCAAACACTAACACAATGCCTCAAATCATGGGACAAATCATGACGAATCCCGATGTGGTTTTCGTTTGACTTCGCTGTCATCAAGGATAACGGTATGCTCACCAAAAGCTCCATATGGCTCACCTCTTCACACAGATCTCGGTCAGAGACAACTTGGTCTCAATCCAAGACATTTTGATAAACAGTGATAAACCAGAACTTGGGAGTCAAAATTTTGATGCAACATGATGCAACCCTATTCTTTGGTTTCTTAGTGGGTATGCAACAATCATTCGGAATACTCCAAGGTACGCATCCCAATCATCTCTTGGCAAATGGACTGGGAAACCCCACGTCATTTTGTGTGCTTTCCTGAGGTCATTCTCATGATATACCCTCTGGTGAACTAACATAGCAATGGAAAATCACTATTTTTAATGGGAAAATCCACTATAAATGGCCATTTTCAATTGCTATGTTAGTTCACCAGAGGGTAACATGATAATAATTGTGAGTCGTGACCCTCCAAGGATCCGCGCCAGCCAGTGTCGAACTTACGATCTACAGGTCTCAGAGGCAGCAGGACAAAAAACGGCTCACCAGTTGACCATAATGGGGTTCTCACCAGACCTTGGTATACCGGTAACTATACCTATAATACCTATACAGATGTACCTGGAGGATCCAGGATTATTAAATTTCACGAGCTCCTGGGATTTTGTGATTTTCAGGGAATATTGGATATCAAGGTCAAGATGTAATATTTGGTGCAGTGTACGCACACAAGGGTTGCACGAAAAAACTTAAGCGTCATGGTTTGCACGGGTTTGCACTGGATCAGCCTTCCATGAATGGATTTGGTCCAATTAATCGTTCAGAAAACATGAAACAATCGGAAACGGTCGGAAACAGTCGGAAACGGTCGGAAACAGTCGGGAAAATGATCAGGCCAAAACTTGTCCAACCCGCCTTTTTTTTTAAATAAGCATTTCCGCGCAACGCAGTTTCTTTTGGAAGGTCCAAAGGTGTCCAAGGGGACACAGTTGGAAACAGTCGGAGATCGCACCTTCGCTCGGCAAAAAAGACATGTCTTTACAACATGTTCAAACATGTTTCATAAATATGTGCTACAAAACTGAATAAAACGTGTACTTACTTCCAAAAATGTATTTACGAAGAAACGTACAATGCTTCTTGAATGACCCCCAAAATGAACGTCGCTGGTGAGTCCAGAGTCCAGGTATATATATATTTATTTATTTATTTAGAAAATTATATACGTATATACACCACCGGAGTGGTCACACAATAATATCTTAGTGTGATTAATGCAGTATCCGACATTGTCAAACATTAATCTTGAGAGGTGCGAATCCCTAGAGACAATCGTAAAACACAATGTGTTCTTTTATGTCAAATATGAACAAATACAGTAACAAGTAAGTGTGAAAAACATAATATGCAATGCCATCTCCAAAAAAACAACAGTAAACGTATAAATGTACTTTCTTCGAGTGATCCCCACCTTGAAACACTATTCTGACATAGTTTCTGACTGTTTCTGACATACCACCTGGAACTGTATATGGCATATCTATTCTGACATTTTATTTGGTATTCTTTCTGGCATATACTTTGACATTCTATCTGAAATTCTATATGGAATCTGGTATCTATTCTGACATGCTGTTTGGAATATATTCTGACATTCTCTCTGGCATCTGGCTGAGGTCCGGCAGTGCCCACTGAGATCTGGAGCTCGCGGTTGAGGTCTGGCAGTGCCCGCTGGGGCGGCTGAGGTCCAGCAACACCCACTGCTGTCTGCAGCTCGCGGTTGAGGAACTGGAGGACGAGGAGAAGGAGAAGGAGAAGGAGAAGGAGAAGGAGGAGGAGGACGGGATGCACCTCTGATAAAATCTAGAGACCGTCACCTGGCAGGTGGGGGAAAAACAAATATGGAACATTCATGCAACAAATGTTAGTGTTTTTTTTTAAAAATGTTTGTTCTGTTTTGCTTGTCCCTATATGTTTTCATATGTTTTCATAGTTTGTTCACATTGTTTCATAAATTGTGCATGAGTTTAACTTGTTTGTTTTTTTTTCTAAATAAATAAATAAATAAGATTTTCGAACAAATACAATCATATATATATGAAAACATATGAACGTTTTGTGAAACCCATGAACACACAATAACAACATATGAAACTATTATATATAGCACAAACAAGGCATACATGTTGTCTTTTCTTTGTTTTGTTCTTTTTGGTTTGGCATGTTGTCATGTATGTTCATTAACATACATATAATATAGTTATGTATAATATATATATATCTAGGGATAATCTCATCTCTCAATTCTAGACACATATCTGAACCAAGAACAAGTATAGACATTAATATACATATATAATGTATCACTGTCATAATCCCAAGAAACAAGGGAATATCATTGCATGACTGGGCGGCAGCAGTCAATGTGAAATCTCAAATTGACCTGCTCACAAATGATCAGTAGACCGGTCAATCTATTCTCCAAACATCAGGAAACATTTGGGTCTGTCTGAAAGTTAGGTACCCCAACTCCGGTTGTTGTTCATCATGTTCCCCTTCAACTGGCCAAAAATTGGGGTATACAGACAAACCCATTTGTTTATGTTGGTATGGTGAACTTTTGAAATCTCTTGAAAACTCCTGGGTGATTCGGTGATTCGGGTGATAAAAATTCTATTGGCCCCAAAAAGGAAGTTCTGAGGAGCGGACAATCGATAGCGCGCAGCCGGTGGTTGCCACTTTTCGGCACGCTGCCAGGTGCAGCATGGTGCCGTTGCTTGTTTTTTTTTTTTTGCGTTAGTGCACTTTGCTAGAGTTCTCCATGGCGATCCTGGAAGGTGAAATGATTTGGGACAAGAATACAGAATCAACTGTTGGCGCATATATATATATATATTGATATCTGCATATTCTATCGTAACAAACATATTTAATATGATTTAATCATATGTATGTATTGGACTGGATATTTTAGGATTTTACTTCCATATATACTATTTGCACATACATATATATATACACGTATAATATATATGTATATATAGATAACCCTTGACCAAAAGGAAAGTCTCACATTGGAAGGAAAGAAAAATGCCAGGAATCTTTTTGTGGACTTTGTATTTGGTTAAGTTTTTCAGATAGATCCGGAAGGAATAGAAACGAACAGTCTGGACAGTGTTCAAAATCAACGAACAGTTGATGGTTCAAATTTCATCCAGTCCACTACGTGTTCAGACGAAATCGATGCAGCCCACCTGGGACACAAAATTGATGCATGATGCAACTTGATGCGCTGAATATGCCCTGTCTGCGCCGATCTGAATCCTTGTATACTGCGAAGCCATTGATCCCACCTCATTTTGAGATACGACACTTTCATTTTGGGACTCTTCTGTATCTAATTACTCGCTGAGTAAGTAATCATCGATTGGTTCGCATTCTTTTTCCGGATCATCACTGGACTGTGTCCAAGGAAACATCACGGAGACTTCAAAATTTACGGCTGGAAGATTTGGGTGTGGTCCACCGTCCAACAGCCAGAGCCACATGGGGACTTTCAGGAGCTTAGCCTATTTGATCCTATTTGTTGCACAACTTCTTGTGAAACAAGAGAAATAATAGAGAATTATATCATATATCCATATACATATATATATATATATATTATTAATAACCCTTTTAAGTGGAGTTTCCGGATCGAATCAAAAAGGTCACCGTTAAGCCAAAGATAGTGCTGTGCTTCGTCGTCAGGTACTTCAGGTTGTTACAGTTTCCCCTGGGTTAAGCAGCAACATCTATAATTATATGATCCTGATATATAGTATATATATATACATTTATATGATATATGTATATATATATACTTATATGATATGTATATATATATACTTATATGATATATATATATATACTAATATGATGTATATATATATATATATTTATATATATGTAATTATATGATATATATGTAATTATATGATATATATATATATAGATACAAATATATATATGTATAATTACATTATATATATATATGTATGTATCTCTATATATACATTATATATACATATATATATATATATATATACATGAGATATATAGATATAACACATAGATAGCAATGATAAGTTTGGGGACTTGGAGAGCCGGCTGTCTGTACAAGCTTCTCTTTACAAGCCATTGTGCGGCATGGGGAGATCAGGACATAGCAAAACTGATTCTCTAATGAATCTTCCTGAACAAATGAGGACATTCTAGTGTGATGATTTGTCTCCTCTGTCCTGTTCTCTCTGTGATACATGGTATATATGGAAAAACAATTGCAACCTCGCACAAATCCCTCCACCAACTGATGCAAAAGAGAACAAGAGCGAGGTAGTGCCCAGCCGTTCAAAAATCAAGGTATTGCAATCTGCCATCAGAAACATTCCGAAACGACACCGTACACAAAAGCAAGAAATGCTGCTTCGCACAGCATGATTCATTCAGTGAAATTCCTGTCTACACTAGGAAAATGCGAGACAAAATTCTCAGTGCAATGGTCTCTGGCATGTGCTCATGTGTACTTGTATCTTGCTTATCCATCCTAACAAACACCACAAACACAAACATCACATCAATCGCATATCAATCTATGTGGGATTCTGTGGGCATGTCACAACGAGAGGTGTTACAACAACTTCTCAGCCACGCCCACGGAGTAGGGCAACGAGGCCGCCTGAAGAGGTCCATCTGAAGCATCACTGGAGGTTTCCTAAAATAACCACAAATCATCCAAGTCATTAGACCATTTTTGTGTTGAAACCCATGGTGATTTTGGACCCCCTATTTTAGGAATCCGATTGACCCATATCCAGAGCCATATCCAGAGCCATTCCATAGCCATCAAGACACACCCTTCGCTCATCGCGCTGGTACCAGGACATTGTCCAACAAGCGACAGGTGCGATGGCCCTCTTCCTGGCGCGGCCAAAGAAATTGGGCGTCTCTGACAATGGAAAACCCCATTTAACCCAAATAAATTACTGGAAAATTGGATTTTAGGAATATTACTTTACCGGAAAAAAAAAACAAATAACCATTGAACAGGGAAAACGAATGAACATGATGATTATCCATTGGGTTTTGGGGCACCCAATTCTCAAACAAACCCAAAAAAGGCACTCTGGCACTGGCTTAAACTTGATGGTTTGCTGCTCCACTGCTCAAAGTTTAACTTTGACAGAGATACAGAATGGATATATATATATATGTATATATATATATTTACACATGTTGCAAACACATCTAATCCAGAGGCTGAAAATCGAAGTGTATGGTTGCCATCAATCCAGGATTGGATCTCAAGACACTAACACTTTGAAGGCAAGTTGCCGTCCATCTGCTTTGTATAAATCAACATTGCCCAGAATAAGTCTGTCCGCCATGTCCGCATCATTCCGTAGAAAGTGGGTTAGCAGTACTTTAGCATATATGTTTGAGATCACAAACCCCAAGTGCTCTTACAATTTATGACCCCAGTAGTAGAAGCGGAGTATCCTCACTGACAACTGGAAATTCATGGAACCAACTGTTTGGCCTTGACTTCCATTAAAAGAGTATTGATTGCCAATCATTGACGTACACATACATACACAATACACATGTACAGTAGTATCATGATATATTATGTATATATGTGTATTACATATCTCTGTAATGATATATCATGTGGATTCATGTGGTTATCATCATATTAATTTAATATGTTCCCAAAATGGAGGTACCCCTAAATCATCAACTTTCTTTTCGGATTTTCCAGTATAATCCATCCTCCCCATTTATGAAACCTCCCCATTTATGGACACCTCCATATGGATGTACTCTCTGGTAACAGTTTGCTATTGAACATGACCCATATTAATAATGTATATATATATAGTTATATAGTTATATATATAAATGCCATGTACTATATTAACATGATATGCTATATATAATATGACGACCTCTCTCTATATATATATATATATAATATGTATATGTACTACTATGATGTCCCATTCAAAGCTATTTTCGCGCCTAAGCTGCGCTTAGACGCCCGCCTTCATCACGCAGCAAATGCTTACCACGGAGTTGCTCAAATCAGCCTCCAGCCAACTCCGCTTGGTCGCGGTGGTGCGACTGCCAATGTAGAAAATATCCAATAAAATGGATAATCTAATTCATGATAATTCAATATAATTCATGATAATTCAATATAATTCATGATAATTCATGACAATTCATGATAAGTGATTATCATTCATGGCTAAAATCTGATAAATGATTAGAAATGGCAATAATCATTCCCTAATGGTTGGATAATTCCCAGAAAGAATTCCATTACCACTGGTTAATATGGCCATGATCATTCCCTAAAGGTTAGATAATGGCCATTACAATACTTCCCATGTAAGGAATGGGGGAATGACCACAATCACTATCATTATGGCTCAATCTTAGATACCCTGCAAGAAATAAAATTCTTAGATGGGCAGCTGGTTATTAGAGATTCCTATCTATAGCAAAAGATTACAGGACTAACCAAGGTTGACCTAGTCATTATGGCTCAATCGAATCCAGCATTCATGGCATGAAGCCAACCGTCCATGGCTCCAGCCTCATCAGCTTTCTCGTTCATGAAACGGGTGTCTGCCACAGAGATGTAGCCTCGGTCACAAAAACATGCGCGACATATGTCACACATGTAGACAAATGTAGGAAAGCAAAGTAGATAAACGAAACAATGACCACTACTACTTGTAATGTTGATTCCAATTTACCCTTCAAATGAGATTCATGCACAAACTTGATTCAGGAAATAATCCTGACGCAGATCTCGATGGCACCGCAGGTGGTCACTTCAGACCCCAACCACAGATGGACTGTCCATTCTAAGATTTCTTAGTAAAGAACCATGAAAGTCTGTGGTAGTTCCCCCTTTTTTTGGAATCATCCTCAACATCCTCAACTAAATGGTGATTCGATGTGGTGGTTTGGGTGGATGGGATACATCCGCTGGTACTTCCGTAACCGTAAAGGATCTCACAAAATAAACAACACCACAAAATCACCCATTCTTGTGTTTTCAGTCATTGCCAAATATCCATTTTCGCGGATGAAATCCATGTGCTTGATGTTTTTTCGTGGGTCAGTTCCCACTTTTGCCTGTTCTAAAACCCCCCAAACTTGTTTGGTTTACCATCCCCCCAAACTAACACAGACCCTGAGAATCACTGGTTTCGATTACAAAGTAGTCTTCCAAGTCCGAAAAGAAATCGGAGGGTCAAGCTGTTAGTTGGCTGGATGGTATCACCGCATTTTGAACAATTAATGCATCCTATAGATGTATGTGTATATATATATATATGCAATATATATATATATGCAATATATATATATATATATATATGTACACAGTCAAAATATTGGGATAATTACTACCAAATATCATAACATATCATAACATTACTACCCTCGTTGCAATGGACAATGGAAAATCCATCATGTACTTCGCTGATGTCCCATTACTTCGACTCGATTTGCTTCGGATTTTTTTTTTCCAACCAGGATGGTCCCCCAACTGATCCAACTGAGGCTTCAACTTACCTCAAGCTCCTGGCTTTCCAGCTCTCGCCGCACCGAGGAGCGAACCTTGAAATGGGAACAGGTGACAGAAACCGGTGATCACTGGTGATTGAGTTTTCCTGAAGAAATCTGACAGTTCTGTGGAAAATCTTCTCAGAATAGAAATTCAATCAGATGTGTGCCAGAAAGTACTAGGTTCTGGTCAATTTCAGCACAAGCATAACTATCATAACTTGATTGTATGCTTGAATAAGTTACAAATCTGTGAAGACTGGAGCCATCAAAATCCTATCCGATGATCTCCCATCTATGTTGCTTTCTCACGAATGGCAGACCATATTAAACTATTAGACCCCCAAAAACCAATGGTCTCCCGCTAATAGATCACAACTGTGGGAGGATTTTTGGGTCCTCAAGAATCCCTGGCCTATACATGTATATGTGTATATATATATATATACATGTATATATATATATAATACATTTCTATATATACACATAGAATATATGTAAGATGTACCGATAATATAATGACTGCATATATATATAATTATCATTATATGATATGCAAATAATATATACATAATCGTATTCTATAGCCAACCACCGACAGAACTCCCCTGGGCCAGCCATGCCGATCCAGGAGATGCGCCCGCAGCGCTGGTCGCGGCACACAAGGCCTTGTAAATCGCAGGCGCCTCACACCCGCACCGCCAGAAAAAACGGTTGGGAATCTTGGATTTCATGGGGATTTTTTGAGATATCGCAGGATTGAATGTGGTGCGGGATTTAATGGGGATTGTGGATATCATGGGATTAAATGAGACTTAACAAAGATTTAATGGACACTTCAGCCATAGAAACTTGGATGTCATGAGAACTTAGGCAAAAAACATTGTGATTTAATTGGATGTGATTGGGGATAGATATGATGGGATAGGATGTAAAACCAACTTTATCACAATATGCAATTTTGGTGTACTCCCACAAAACGATACAAAAGGCACCAAACGGTAACGTTGAAGGGGAAAAATGAGGATTCACCAGTGGATTTAGGGGTGATGCCCTATTTTCAGATGATCCTGTTTAAGATACAGCTGGACATGAAGCATTGGTAGTGACATTTCCACAAGAGACTGAACCATTCTATCATCGCTTTCTTACAATATTTTTTTTGGCTGGATATGGTGTTGAAACGTGGAACAAAAAATGAAAAGCAAAAAACATCTGACAACCGACAAGTGAACTATAGGGTCACCATGCCTGGAAAGAAAAGAACACGTGCTTGAACATGACATAGAAAATAACCACAGGATGTTGGGCAAAGCTTTGGACCCCAGCCTTCTGGCGCATGCTTGGCGAGAGATACGAATTTCGGGAAGAACGAGCCACCCTGCGGCTGTCAAACACAGAAGATCATGAGGTTCCGAGATTCATCAGAGATCATTCGACGTTGCTTTCATTCCTACCCTTAAAGATCCGAAGGAGTCACTGCGTTGCAGATCATCACAACCGCAGGAGATGGATGGATAATTTGATGTCCAAGTTACATGACGTCGTACTGTCTTTGATATAGGTCCGCTGTAACTGAATCAACAATTGTATCCCGACAGAAGTGAACATGTTGGAGAGGACCAATCAGGGAGCAGGGTCGAACACCGAGACCGTGCAACAGTTGAACCCCTCATCCAACACAAACTGTGAAACTTACATGATGAATAAACTTTAAATTTACTAACAATCCCCCGGTGCACAAAAAACATCAATATGAATGGTACTTGTAAGAAAAGCATTGAACATGATATAGAAAATAGTAAAATGACGACAACTAACATACACACCGTATATATCTCAGAACCCCTGTTCTACATTTTTCTACCGTGTTTCGCCCCTAAAAACCCTGGTTCATTTTGGGGTCCCTTTTTGGGAGCAATTTAGTATTGGGAAACGCAATTAATTGAATATATGTATATATATATATATATCTCTGTATGTATGAATCTATTTGTGGGTATGGTTAAACAATACCACCAAAATGGATGATGGATGGATGGAGGGATGGATGGATGTATGAGTCAAAGTGACCGATTTTGCTTGCAAAATCGGCACTCAATTTCGCCACAATCCCTAAGGCCCAGGCCCGTCAAATTCACGTGATGTGGGCACCACGTGCAAAGCGATTCGATGATCAAGCATCAAGTCCTGAAATGGAGGTGTCAAGGGACCCACAGAAGTGATCATCTTTCAAGTGTTCCATTCTTGAGTTATCCATTTTGGTATCTGTTGTTGGTGTCCTGCTTAAGAGACACCCAGAATGGAGAGTCATTGTTGCTTCAAAACCCTTCAACAACACTGGTATGTACCTTTTGTGGTTCAATTTGCTAAACAGAAGGCTGGGGACTCTTCAAGAGCTCTGGACCATAAAATGAGGTGTCACATTCGCCAACAGAATACAACAAATCAAAAAATGGTGGTCACCACTAAATGTCAATAATATCATGGCTTCACTTTTGATTTACAGAAAACAGGGAATAACTAGTAATGGGGAATAACCAACAAAGGTGAACATCTAAACTACCAAGGTGTAAGAATCACAAGTGCTGGCTTGGTAGTTGTGCACATTCTTGCGTGGTCCACAAAAGATGAACCACCGCAATTTTACCCACCATTGTATATATATATAAATATACAATATATATATAAATATATACAATATATATATACATACAATGTATATAGATAATAAATTTACATATATAATTGATATTCAACATCAAACATGGGTGGTCACTTCGAAATCTGCTGAGCAACAACATATTGATTTGAGCACCAAAATAGGAAATGATCGATGTATGTCTCAACAAGAGTAGATCAATATAGACTCACCATCTTGACAAACACACACACACACACACACCTGGAGTTGTGAGCACCCGGAGCGGAATGAGCTTTTAACATGGGGTTTTGGAGAGACAAATGAACGATCCTGGGACACAAGCAACACTGATGGCCAAGTTACTGGCTCCTCGACAAGGTGACCCAGCTAAGGCATCTACTGAGACTACTTTTTTCTTCCTCATTCTTTGGGTGATCCTTCAGTACCCTCTAGATCCCTCTAGTCTCAGCATCTGATTTTCAAAACATGTGGAAATGTGCTTCATGATGTGGTCAAAATCTTCCAATACAGGGATCAGAGAAGAAGTACATCCCCAGTCGCCCGGCAGCCGTTACACGAAAAAAGCAAGCGCAGTCCTCCAACATTCTTGCGATGACCACACATTGCATGGCATCTTTTTGCCCAAAGATAGCTACATCAGGCTGAAGAAGGTTGAAAAACTTCAGACCTTGGCTACATCAGGCCACTTGAACCACATGGTTTAACATCACCAATTTTAGCACAGTATTGACCCAACCCGTTGGGGGGGCAGATTTTTTCCAGTTCATTTCGCCATGAGGATCCGACAAACTGTTGCAACACCAGAGAAAAAATGAGGGCGATCAGCTGCCTGCAGCTTTCGTATGATGGGAACGGACCAATGAATGGCCCAGACCTCAGGATCTTTGTATTGGAAGCCTTCAACCTACCATTTATAGTGAGTTTTCCCATTAAAAATGGTGATTTTCCATAGCTATGTTAAATTACCAGAGGGTACTAGGGAAATTCCAGATTTTCTGGCTGATATTATTCATGTCGATTCATCAACAACTTCGGCATATGCCTGGCTTTGTGAGTTGCTCGCCCGTCCTGAAACTTCGTGCAAATTCCAGGGGATGAACCATCATCATCCAACGTATGTGTGTGCTCAGGAAGCATCAAACAAACATCCGTGAAGCCCTGTTTCTTCCCACTTGAACTACAGAAATTCATAGAAATCCCAGTTCCAGTGGCCTCGCTCTTGCCCTCTACAAAATGAGGCACTACCTTGGTCACTGCACAGATTTTGTTGCTCAACTGGTGTTGGTCAAGGCTTGAGCTCGCGGCCATGGTGCCACCAGGAATTCCAGTTGGATACCTGAGTTACCGTCTGAATCCACCTGCCAAAACATTATATATATATATTTATTTATTGCATTATATTGCTGTATGTGTATATATATATATATACATATCAATCATCATCATATGTTGTATGGTCTGTATACATCACATACATGTGTATATAATTCATGTCGAAATAATTCATGTCTCAAAAGTTCGTGCAGTTAGTTTTGGCCGCGTAGGAGATCAACAAATCGCTTGTAGCTATGGGATTTCATCCTCTTTGCGTAAATTTCTAGGCTTTAAATGGCTTTAAGGCATAGCCATATAGATCCTACTTGATGCTTGATAGCCTGACATATATGTCCCACCAACAATCTCAGTGTTCATCGATCTAGCAGTAGCTAAGTTGAACTTATATAAAACATCTTAAAACGACGTTATCACATCACGCCTTACAGATACAGGATGTTACACTGGACATAGGCATGGCTCCAACTCCCCCATGACCAGCATGACCACCATGCCCAGGTGCAGCTCATTGGCGAAAGGCGTGAACAGCGCCGTGGCCCCTCGCTCACGCAGCTTCTGCATGTCCTGAACCGGAAAGGCCAACCGGAAAGACAAACTGCCCAGCCTTAGATCCAAAGAGCCAACTGTTTGTATCTGTTCTATGTTGTTTTACAAGATTTTGCTCAGAGTCTCTATCTCATGCTCTGCAGGTTTCCAACTATCAACTTGTCCATCTATTTTGGTGTTGCCAATATGCACAGATCTAAGACAAACCATTGACCTATGGCATGCAACTTGTTTGAAGCATCCTCGCTTGGGCCGATCCAACTCAGTGCGTCAATGATCCAGTTTGATGCGGATGCAATCGTCATCGTATGTCATAATTTTGTATAATATACAGTAATGCATCATATGTATATATATACAGTAATATGAATCGATGTATGTATATATATATATATACACATCCATATATCCATATATCCATCCATCCATCCATCCATCCCTCCATCCCTCCATCCCTCCATCCCTCCATCCCTCCATCCCTCCATCCCTCCATCCCTCCATCCCTCCATCCCTCCATCCCTCCATCCATCCATCCATCCCTCCCTCCATCCATCTATCCATCCCTCCATCCCTCCATCCCTCCATCCCTCCATCCCTCCATCCCTCCATCCCTCCATCCCTCCATCCCTCCGTCCATCCATCCATCCATCCCTCCATCCCTCCATCCCTCCATCCCTCCATCCCTCCATCCCTCCATCCCTCCATCCCTCCATCCATCCCTCCATCCCTCCATCCCTCCATCCCTCCATCCCTCCATCCATCCATCCATCCCTCCATCCCTCCATCCATCCATCCATCCATCCAATCATCCATCCATCCATCCATCCATCCATCCATCCAATCATCCATCCATCCATCCATCCAATCATCCATCCATCCATCTATCTGTCTGTCTGTCTGTCTTTCTGTCTGTCTGTCTCTCTCTCTCTCTATCCTTCTCTCTATCTCTATCTCGATCTATCTATCTATCTATCTATGTATCTATCTATTTATTTATGTATCTAATCTAATCCAATCTATATCTACATACAATCTGTATTGCCTGCAGGAAACCAGCATCTTAGGCCATTCATTGTCTGAATAAATCATAGCGACCTCACTACTATCTCATTGGAAAGTTGGTAATTAATGGGGGCACTATCCAAAATTGCCGTATTCATCCATATGTCATTTAGTACAGTAATTTATCCATAATTATTTATCCAGACATCAAAAGTTATCCTATATTTGTCACGGTGAAAACATGTTAAAAGCCCATAAAAGCCCCAATAATTCCTATGATAGCCAACCACTCACCCGTCATCACCACCAAATCCTCCTCGAGGGTGCGCGGGTATGTATCCAAGTCCTAATGCCGAGCCGAGCATCCAAAAAATGCTGCTTGGTAAAAAGGGGACTTTCCCAATGTCACTTAAATGGAATTCAACTCTACAGCAATGGTTCACAACACGATACAACACGTGGATGAAACTGGAGCTTCAACATGATTCAACATGATTCAAGCCATAATGGCCACAGCCAGTGGCAATGAGGCTGGCTGTGTCCTCCTGGGTCCCTTGGTGGGTCCCTTGGTCCCGCTGAGGCCATCGCCTCATGAGACGCGAATTGCGATGGATTCACGAAGATTGACACAATCGCCTGGTGCAGCTGGGGAACCCAGAAAAACGATGCCATCGCTGGGACCCAGCTGAATGATCCATGATTATTTAAATAACATGGTGAAACAAACCCCAAAAATTGTGCCAAAATAATATGGGAAAAAATGGTGAAACAGGGGAACTGGGACAAGGCAGGTTGGAGGTCAGGTGGGAGGCTGTTATGTTTTTGTTAAGACATCAGTGAGTAAAAGAACATCGGTTCTCAAATACAAGTCGTGGTATTGCCCAAGATTTCTTACACCGAAGTTTCCCAAATTTTTAATGCCCTTTCGTATTCATCATCTTCAATATTACTTTCGGTGAGATTACTGTAGAATGCCTCTTTTGGTGGTAATTGTTTTTCCCTAAATTTGTCAAATGAAGTAAAGTAATCATAAGGATAAACACCTTTATCAGTCAGTAAATCTAAATCCTCATCATTACTCACATAAGGGTTTCTTTTGCTAAATTTGAAGTTGTTTTGCCAGTTTTGTTTCTTCTCTCCGTCTTCATACTTACTCAACGAAGATGACAAGAAAGAAAAACTGTCTTGGAAACAACGATTTTTGAATGCGAATGTTATGAACTTTTCACTATTTTGGGCTATTACGTCTATCTTATCCCCTTTCTGATAGTTCATTTGCCCTCTCAATGATTAAATGACTATCGTAGTTTTTGAGATTATGAAGGAAAACTGGAATTTTATAATAACGCATAGCAAACTGTAAATTACAATCATCGTGAGCACACCCCCTATCTCCCTGTAAAGTGGCAATGGTCTCTAACCTTTCTGTCCCCTTGTTGGAAGTCTTTACCGCAAATAAAACACTTCGTGGCGGTATTAAAGTCCCTCCTGTTGTTGGCATTAAAAATGATTTCCGTGTTTTCCTTCATCTTCTCCATAACTTCATCTTTAACTTCAATAATCTTTTGAATGAACACATCCATACAATCCTCCCATCTATGCTATTGACAACATTTATCATAAAACCGCAGGGTCGGTGATGTTGGCATTTATCAGTCTTAACTTCTTTAGTTGAAACTGTCCCCGTTCTTGTGGTTAGACATTCAAAGTCAGCATAGATGACGAATGGTGCTTTCAACTTTTTGTAGTGATTTTTGAAAACCATAATGTCCTCTTCATTAGGCATTTGTATCTGTTGTCCTTCAACTGCCATACATCCCTTTTCAACGTGTTCATCAAGAAGTTCTTTTGTTAAAAAGCCGTGTTGGCAGTGAAAACAGTGATGTTTCTTTGCTTTCATTTTGTTGGTTTGACTTCCTATTATTTTATCATAATCTTTGATGAATACATAATGGTAGTCATCCCCATCCTCCAGTTTTAGAAGACTGGCTTGATGAGTTGCTTTTGATACTTTAGACTGTCTGTAAAGTAGGATGGACTGTTTCCCTTCTTCGGGGTCAAGAAAATAAACATTGACTGCTATTTTTCCTCCGTTGTTTTCTTCAAATGTATCTATATCAACATCTGACGAAGGAAAATTCACATTATCCCAGTTCAGTTCATCATTGAGGTTTTTGTAGTGAGACACCCTTTCGGGGTGGTCTTTTTCATAAACCTTACATATACCACATTGAACGGAATACTTGAAGCACTTTTAATCTTGATTTTTGATGTTGATACAGGCTTTTTTGTTTGAAACCCATTTAGGTAATGGAATGAACTTACCCCCACGAGTTGGATTGTATTTGTCATAGTTGAATTTCAGTTTATCAATCTGGGTTATGACTAATCCACTCTCCGACACTTCCATCACCTCCGCTTGGTGCTCTACATCACTTGCCATCTGATTAAGAACATTGGGTATTTCACCCTCGTTGGTGATGTTGTATCTTCTACTCTTGATGACTTGTCTTACATCTTCATTAGTCGTTTTGCTCTTCAAAGTGGCGAAGACCTGTAGCATAATCTTCATTCCATTGTGTTTCCTCAAATACTCTTTTAGCCTCAAATCTTGGTATTTGAGATACTGTAGTGCCTTTATGCCGCTAACCCTGATGTTAGTGATGGCATACGAATTGACATAACCTTTGAAAGCAGATTGTTCGTTGGTGGTGGTTGCTTTGTATCTCATTTGAATGCCTGTGAGTGCTTTGTTCTTGTCCAGATTGACCCATCTAATGCCTCTCTTCTCTTTCAGTTCATACTTTTTGTAGTCCATAGTCTGCCTAATCTTGTTGAATTTTGTTATCAACCTCTTTGAAATGGGTTTCCCCCTTTCAAAGTTGTAGGTCTTGTCTCCAATCTTGAGTTTCTTGAGTTCTTCTCCATTCCGTTTCAATATCTCACCCTTTTCGGATGATAAAAGAAAATTTAAAACAATCTGCTGTGAAGCGTCCATTGTAGTATAGTCTATATTATTATAATCTTCTGTTTCTTTAAGTAGTTTTTCAGTGTGAATTGTTTGTTGAAGATGTTGCGGATGATTGGATTGTTGGTGGATTAAGTTTTGAGATAAAATTTCATTTTTTAACCTTACACCCTCTCCCATATTCTCCTTAATATATAAAACATCATTTCTTTAAGTAGTTTTTGGGCTCTCGTTCAGTTTTTAGGTCATTGGGTTCTGGGTTGAAGTCCAACGTGAGGACACCGTCGTTTGACTTTATAAATTGTTTTAAAGAAATGGCAACTTATGGTAAATATAGGTATGAATAGGTATGAAAACGGAAAAATTACACAATTACAGATGTTGGATATAATAAATGCTATATTGGGAGCACCTGTGAAAGTTTGAGTAAAAGAATGGAAAAACATAGAAAACAATATAAGGAATACATCAAAGGGAGGATGAAAAAGAAGACAACCGCAATAGATATATTCAATGAATTCGGTATTGAGAATTGTACGATTGAACTGATTGAGAACTACCCGTGTCAAAGTAAGGAAGAATTGTTCAAAAGAGAAGGACATATCAAAGCAACAGAATGTGTCAATAGACAGATTGCAGGTAGGACGCAACAGGAGTGGAAACTGGACAATCCAGAGCAAGCGAGAGAATACTATGAAAGAGGCAAGGCACGTGCCAGAGCATACTATCACAAACATAAAGAGGAAATAATAGAAAAACACCGTTTTGAATGAAGAGAAAATAGTAGAACAACGTCTTTTGAAGGTTGAATGTCCGTTTTGTAAGCGTTAATTTTTTGAATACTATGCTCTATGGCATCAAACGAACAACTGTGTCAAACAAACGGGAATGGACAATGAATAGATAGAACATTCTGATTAACAAAGCGTTGTTAATGAGAAGGTTTTATTTTTAGTGTCGTCTGCTGTTCATACATCTGTTGGTTTGACGGTGTTTTGATAGATTGGATTTGCTTGTGATGGTTTGTCCGCAGTCTGGACAGGTGAAAGGGGTTGATAATTTCTTTTGATAATACTTTGAAAAATAATTGGGGTCTAATGGTTTCTTGTCGTAAGTTCCGTCGGGTTTCCATCTTGTGGATGTTGTGGTTGGTGGATTTTGAGGGTTGCTGGATTGGTGTAGTGTTTCCGCCATTTAGTCAAAAAGGTCTTCGTCCATTTTTGTTTCATACCGTTAATATACATATAGCAGGGCATAGTCAATTCTTGATTCTATAAGGCGTCATTTCTTTAAGTGTTTTTGGGTCTGTTGCTCTAAAAATTGTGTTTTTAACAAGTGTCCTAAATTGATGTTTTTTGAACGCTAAAACGATGGTTTTAGGACACTTGTTGAAGTAAGGATTTTTTGTCTTCAAAAGTTCAGGGTGAAACGATTTGTCCGTGCTTGATGGTTTGGCTATAAAAGTTGAGGATGAAACGATTTGTCCGTGTTTCATGTTTTTGTCAAAAGTTGAGGGTGAAACGATTTGTCCGTGTTTGATGGTAACAAAGTTCAGGGTGAAACGATTTGTCTGTTGTTGCTTGTTCGGTGAATGATTGATACTCGGTTCTGGGTATCGTTGATACGTTGATACTTGGATATTGGTATCTGGGTATCATTGATACTCGGTTTGGGGTATCATTGATACTCGGTTCTGGGTATCATTGATACTCGGTTCTGGGTATCATTGATACTTGGATACTGGTATCTGGGTATCATTGATGCTAGGGTTGGGTATCTGCGGTTTTGCATTCAATACGTGAAAATTACTCTTGGATGACTCACCCACAAAACATCTCAAGCGCCACAGTTTTTTTTCACCGGCGAAGCTCACATGTATCCTGCATCCCTCAACTTCTGCTCATCCTCTTCAAAGAGCTTGGCGACGAAATGCCAATGCTTCAAAGCCACAGTTTCACTGGTTGTACTCCTCAGGACGCAGTCTGCTGGCTCCTCACGAAGAAAATTCAAAGTCATTTTGGTGTCTTCATCGCTCTCTGGGAGATACCCCATGGGTCCTGCCTCAGCCACCTTGAGGAGATAGTCCTTCACTTCCTGGTCATCCAATTTCTTTTCAATTGGTTCCACCCTCCGGTTGTACCACTGCTCAACCCGCTCGATGACCGCATCCGCACCTTTTCTGACCTGCTCTGGAGACGTTTTCCAGTATCTCGCCCAAGTCGCGGAAGTTGCCCCCTGTGCGGATGTAGTAGCGCTTCAACACCTCCGCTATCTTGTCGTCGGCAAGAACCTTGTTCAGCGTCCGGAAGTCATTTCCCTGCTTCGCCACCTCCTTGACCACAGACGTGAAGTCTTCGAAAGGTAGTGGTCGCACCACCACCAGCCTTGACATGTTAAACCTTTCTTTGATGATGTCTGCCACTGCAGACACGCTGGCCTCCAAAATGAACTTGCACGCGGCATTGTCGTAGGTGATGTTGCGAGCGACGGCACCGAGGGTGGAAGCAATGTCATCACAGGCATCCCTACTAAATTTGTCTCCGCGGCTTTTGGTTGTGAGTTGCAGGTATACCACGACGGCACTGCCTGTTCGGCGCTTGCACGTCTCGTTCACCTTTTCCAGCATATACTCCACTTGTTCTGGGTAGTATCGCGGCAAATTTACTGC